CCAATGCTTTGGCTCCAGCCAATACTTACAGCTTTCTGGCAGGACTGTACCCCATCTGGGGTGGCTGCAGCCACCTGGGTACTTCTTAGCAACTCCTGCCTCCAGCAGTTCCTCCTTCTGCTCCTGGTGCACTGCTTTAGGCAACAGATAGTATGAAGAAGTGGCGGTGGTCATGGGGTGCACTCTGGACACCACACACCCAGACAGGCAGGGGGGGGAAGCTGTAGCTGGGCAGCTCCTGCCCCAGCAGGCTGGGTTTCAGATCCCAGCTGCCTTCCACCCACTTGGCCACCCACAGGTTGTTACTCATTGTGCCAGGAGGGTAGAGTGGGTGAAAGGGAGCTGGGAGCTGGAGCCCCACACACTGGGACAGGAGCCGCCTGGCTACAGCTTCCCCCTGCCTGGATGGCCAAGTACTGCCTTGCTTGCATCTCCATGGTTTCCCTGCACTACCTGCTACCTGGAGCGGTGCAGTAGGAAAAGGAGGAGAAACTGCTGGAGGTGGCAGGGGGCTGGGGGCTGAGCAGTACCCTAGTGGCTGCAGCTGTACCAGGAGCAGCTGGGAAGCTGTGTGCTTTGGCTGGGCCCGGGGACGTTGGTAAATGTGGACATGGGTACAGGTGGGAGCATGTCGCAGGCTGCTCTAGAAGGGAACAGGCAGGACTTGGCCCATGCGGAGCCCTGTGAAGATAGCTGTGGGCAAGGTCGAATCAACTGGTGGGCACCTGCCTATGGGCTGGATCCAATCAGTTGGTGGGCTAGATCTGGCCCATGGGTCATATTTTGCCCAGCCCTGGTTTAAGTTGAGGTCCCTAGCCTCTCATCTGGCTGCTTCTCTCTGTATCAGTCTGACTATAACAGGAGCTGGAGCCTCTGGGCTCTCCCTCTCTCCTCCATCTGCTGCTTCGTGCCTCTGGCTCAAGGGGTGGAGTAGTCTGGCATGTGGCACAGGGAGCTGAAGGTTAGTCCAGGGCTGTGTGGGGGTGGGGAAATCACACCCATGTGGTGCAGTGGGGCAGGGGAGGTCACCTGGTGCAGCAGTGGGGGTGGAGGTAGGGTGGCCATGCGTCCTGGTTTGGCTGGGACACTCCAGGATTCCACTGCAGGATTCCAGGACTCCAGGAGCAGTGGTGCCCCTGCCCGGCTGCCTGCGTGATGCAGCATGCCACTCTGCCTCCCTGCTGGACTCCAGCCCAGAACTTATGACCAACTGGCCAGGACCAGGCTACAGTATCTTGGAGTGTCCCAGCCAAACCAGGATGCATGGACACCCTAGGTGGAAGGAGGAGTTGCATTTGTGGTGTAAGGCTTGTGGCTCACCCAGTGTGGCCTGAGCAGCATGCGGCTCCCACTGGTACAGCCCCTGGGGGTTTAGAAATTAGACAGCCCTGGCCTAGGGGAATCTGACCAATTCAAGGAGAACCCTTCCCTAGGAAATGAACAATTGTGCTGGTTCACTACAGAAACCTTATTACCACATAGCACATACTGTTTAACGGTAGATATTTTATCTGAGGCTGACATATAGTTAATCAACTTTAAGTCATAAATTCAGTGAAACTAAATAACCTAAAATAATATTAAATCTACTTTATAAGTTTTTAAAAAAATATTTTCATGAAATATACAGCTGATCTGCATACTAAATTGATTTAATATAACTGACCATATTGAAGTTAATGATAATTTTTAAACCTACTACCTATGATCCCTGACAGTACTGTGAACATTCACACAGCTGCAGAAGGCACTTGCTTTCTTAATGATTTAAGGGCTGGCAGCTGAAAAGTGGGGAAAGTGGGAAAATATACCTTCTGAGATTATTGTTACTATTTTCAGATCTTAACAGCGACAGCTGTTAAAAGGTAAATATGGACACTTACGAGTCTCTTATGTGGCTGCATTTAAGCCAGTCAGGATTTTTTCTTTTGTATGGCAGATAATTGGTTTTAATTACCATAATTCTTTTATGAAGAAAATGTTAAAATCTTAGAAAAGGTAAGCGCTTCTTTCTAGGTAAGAAGTGATTAAAGTCAAGTCTGATAGCTGTTTTTGAAGATCTCAATCTCATGTGCTGCTTTGATACCACATCATCTTGTGATGATACACAATGGAGAAATAGGGAAGGAAAAGGAAGTCATGTCCCAAAGCAGATTACTGGCAGAGCAGCAAGAAAGAACGTGTACATAGCATGAGCACAAAGATGTGCGCTGTTAGGAACTGTGAAGAGAATTATCATTGGTGTTTCCTGTATCCTTTCCTGTATCTTATATACATATACAAACTACAACATTTAGTAAGTTATAAAATATCACTAACCTAAGTCTTCTATGTCTTTCCTTTCCCTGCTTACATCACTTTCTCTATTTCCATTTCCACTTTCTTTCCCTTCTGTGTCTCTCGTTTTCTGTTTCTTAAAAAAGGACACACAACTTTTACCCATTTTCCTTTAAACTGTAATGGTTTTTCTCTAAATGGAACATTGTTCCCTCTTCCTTTTGTTCCTCCTATAATTTTCTGTTCTCCATTTCCTTCCTCCTGCTTTTCATATTCTTCCATTCTTCCTTTTCTCCTCCATATGAATCCTATTTCCACCTTCCTTTTTCTGCTGTATTTTTCCCTTTTTGTAGTCTTGGCCTCTCTTAATGTAATGCCTGCCTTTTTTCCAGCTGGCAGGGTGGTGATGCTGCATATTACTTGCAGTTCTTCAATTACAATCAGCACGCGTCCCCTATTTTGTCTGAAATGCATACTCATAATTATGTAAAGAATGTTGTCTCTCAACCTGCCACTGCTACTCATTAGTATCTGAAAAAGTAGGTGGTTGCCTACAAACTTGCATGCATCTCTGAACCAGTTAGCCAATATGGTGCCACCCTGCCCTCACTTCAGATTAACATGCTGAACCTCCTTTGCATTATTCATTAACTCACATCAATGAATTAATTCATATATCCTGTTGTCATTTTTTTAGGTAAACACATGTATTTAAAACAGTACTGATTTAAATGGAGTCTAATGTACCACTAGAGTAAGAATTTGTCATTGTACCAATAAAATATTTCTCATTCCAACCATTGGTGTAGGGCTGCACGAAGCTTCAGTCCCTCATTTGATTCAGCGGAGATTTGGCCTCTTTTGCTGGCTGAATCTCTAAATCCGAATCAAATTAGGATACCCTTTAATCTCTCCAAATCGAATCAGAATCCTCCAAATCGATTCAGAGAGATTCAGAAAGATTTGGCGATTAGGACACAGACAGAGCTTTAAATGTTTTTTCTACATACCTCAAAGTACCAGGTGGCTCGTGAACGCTGTGATGCTGGGGTGCATGGAGTGTCCCACAGGAGCTCAGGGGGCTCCGCAGCGCGCTCAGCAGCAGACCCGGAAGTGGACCAGAAGCACTTCTGGGTCCGCTGGGGAGAGCACGGGGGGGCCCCCATGCCCCCTGGCTCTGCCTCCTGGATCTAGGGGGGCACCTAGGGTTCCCCCATGGCTGATCGCTGAGCCAGGGGGGAAATGGGAGGGGCCCCCGCATGCTCCCCGGCGAACTTGGAAGTGGACTGGAAGTAGTTCTGGTCAACTTGGTTTGCTGCCAAGCATGTGGGGGGCCCTCTCCATGCTCCTGTGGGACGCTTCATCCACCCAAGCATTGCAACATTCAGGAGCCACACCTGGTACCTTGAGGTATGTAGAAAAAACATTTAAAGCTGTGTCTACGGCCGAATCACTGATTCTCTGAATCAGCATTGAATCTTCAGATTTGGATTCATCAGTATTGAATTGGGGGCAGTGATCCAAATCAATGCATTGAATCACTGTCCCTGATTTGGGCTGAATCTGAATTGAATAGGGCCCATTTTGCACACCCCTACAATGGTGCAGTAGATGGGGGGGGGGGGGGGGGGAAGAAAAGGCAGACAGAAGGCAAGACTGAAGTGAGGACAAAGCCTAACTGAAAGAAGGAAACACAGAGGTATTTTATGAACAAAACTAGACTCAAATTATCTAAACATTATTATTTTGATGTTCCTGAGGTTGATAATATTAAGCTAACGCATTCTTCAAATAGTGATGAACAGTTAGTTTTACCTTTAATTCTGCACTATACATATTTCAAAAGAAGAGGAAACCAGGCAATAATACATGTGATATGTATAAGATGCTACACTAAGTGAGCCCAAAGAGACAACTTAGAGGGGTTATTAAACCAAATATTTACTATGCATAGTATAAATCTCTCTTTAGTGATATGCATTCTAAAATTTAAAAATTCCATCATGCATCATTCTGTTTTTCAGGGTTCCCAAAATCCAGTATTCATGGGTCAAGCCACTTGTGCAACAGTAGTTTTATGAAGGTGCCATTAACTTTTTCTGCAGAATTTTTGCATTCTTCTTTTAAATTAAGGCTGATAGTTTTGGATGACTTCATAATCTTTATTATCTAACAAATGATCTCTGTACAGAAATGCTTAACATGACCCTGTGCTAGGAGTTTCCTAATATATATATCCTTTAGCGTGAGTGACTGGTGCTTCCTGAATCTGGGGGGGGCACCCGCAGAAGCCGCTGGCAGCAGTGGCCCTGTCAGCGGGGGCACCAGCCCTACCAACAGTATCAGTGTTGGCCGTCAGGGGGGCACCAGCCCCTTCAGAAGGGGGGATGTGCACCCCCTACCAGTCTCCTATGCTCTTCAGACTCTTTTTTCCTTCTTTTTACATGTTAATTGCCGGATACTCTGTGGCTTGTGTGAATGCTTACTTGTAAATATGATATTATAACCCACGGTAAGTAGAAGTACTAATTTATTTTTTCCTCCCAAACAAATAATACATTTGTGTATTATTTTTTAAAATCATCATAGCATTTACAGAATTAGATTAAAAGTACTGGGAACTTTTCACATTTGCAATTAATGTCCATTAATAATACTAACTAAGACAGTCGTGTTACAAAGTACTCTAAATAGAGTTAAGAATGACATTTGGAATTGCTCACCTTAGCCAAAGAAGCTTCCACTCTGTTTTTTGAAGATAATGAATTTCCAGTTGGATTTATGAAACTACTTCCAATGCCAAGACTTCTATTTAGTGCTAAGTTATTTCCAAGATTTCCAAGCTGAGCTGTATCTAGAACTGGACTTGCGGTAGGACTTCCATTTACCATGTTGCTGGCAATTAAAGACTTGCTCCTGTGGTGCTCATGGAGGAGTTTTGCATTGGCTTCTGCTAGCCTCTCATTAGCTCTGTGAAAAGTTAAGACGCATAGAAGCATTTTTTTGTTAATTCTTGCACCACCACAACTGAATTTTATTATCTGACCACTGTGGCAATCTATCTTATAGGCGCATATATGGTTTCTATTACAATATTATCTGAGGACTTTTGAAGCATTTTTTCTCATAGAACTCTGGTGAGTTGGAATTACTATTATTCTTGTTTTACACACAGGCAAGGTGTGCAGTATAAAGACAATGTCTATGCCACAAACTTGCCATATCCTGCAGGGGGCCGCCACACCTCACAATTTGCTTGTACCAGATCCCAAAACAAAAGCAGTGGCATATTCAAGGGTTGTGTTGCCAGGCATGGTAAGTTTGTAGCCTAGACATAGCTAAGTCACTTACCCAAGGTCCAACAAGAAGTCTCCCAGGAACAGGGTGGGAATTCATAGACAAGGCTTGAAGACACTTTTTGTGATTGTAAAATGCAGGCCGCAAGACATTTCCAAAATAATTATTTTTCAACTAGAACCTGGCTGTTAGAAAAAACACAGATCCTGCATGTCCCAAGTCACTCTAACTTTTGGACAATACATCCTTTCAATGAAGGCTGCTCTTGGGAAGTGCTGGGAGATAAAATGCTTCTCATTACCTCACAGGATAAGCCTATTTATTAAAAACTCAACTTATACATTGAAATATGGATTTGGGCTTGTAATACAAGAAACACAATGTCTTTCTTACCCATGAACAAAGAAGAAATTACTACAGCCAGAAGACATGCTCACTGAAATTGAAAAAACATTACACTTTATAAAAATAAAGGATATTTCTATTACATATAAACTATTAAATGAAGTTACCCCTTACTAACTGGAAAATGTATTTGCTTCTACAAATGGCCAGTCTTTATGCACATCATATTGAGTAGGTCCAGCTGTGAGGGGTTTTAGGAGATAAATGTAATAAAGGGGGAAAAAAGGAACAGTTTATCATTTGTTTTAAAATAAAGGTTTTGATTTACCTTTCCAATTTACTTGCTAGGCATTTTCTAATTTTTATTTCCTCCGCATACAGGTTTTTGTACCTTTCCAGTTCTGTCTGGGTGGACTCCTTTTGAAAAATGCTGTCTTGCTGGGTGTTTTTCATTCTACCAAGCTCAGATTCCAGATCTCTAATTCTGTGCTCCAGTTGGTTTCTTAGGGAAGCATTATTAGTTTCTCTTATTTTTTCTAACTTCTCTTGGGAGGCTGCCTGTGTCTAAAGCAAATAATATTATCCTAATAAATTGAAAGGCAAAGAGGAATTTTCCTCTTGGTCAGATTCTCACCCCCAACTTAAATACATCAATTTACTCAGCTAGGTAACTACTATCCCTTAGTGCCAACAATAATGCAGGGAAGAATCTGAAATCACTACACAAAAGAGTGACTTCAGCTTAGAAAGAAAATCCCTTATTAGGCCTTTATCAAATCCGGTATACAGATGGCAGTATAATTGCAGCTCCAACCCCAGTGCTAGTGCCAGAATTCCAATTAACTTATGATCTTATGCATATAACTAGCCAATTGCCCATCAAGAATGACGAGGTGGGGGGAGTAGGGAGCAGGCGGGGATGGAGCCCTGGCCCACCCATGGCCAGGCCAGCTCCCCCCCTCCCCGCCA